TCAAATTGAATGTGGATGCAGCAACAGTGGATGGAGCGGCTTGTGGAGGTCTTTTAAGAGATTGGAATGGAATTTGGATTAGTGGATTTTCTACTTTTATTGGTTCATGTTCCCCCTTACAAGCTGAACTTTGGGCTATCTTTCATGGATTGGAGTTTGCTTGGAGTTATGGTTGGAAGAACATTACTTTGGAGTCAGATTATGTTCAAGCTTTATGCTATCTTACCAATTCAGGTAATGAAACTCGAAAGCCAACTCTGGTGGCTAGGATTCGAGCTGTTCTTATTAGAGACTGGGCTGTCTCTTTGAAACATGTTCCAAGGAGCTGCAATACTTGTGCGGATTGGATTGCCAAAAAAGTCTTAGATGATTCCTTTGGCCTTGTCACCATCTCATCCCCTCAAAGTGAGCTGCTCAACCTTCTTGCTGCGGACCTTCTTGATCCTGGACAAGTCCCAGCTGAGTTCTAGTCACTGCTGCTGACCTGTTATGGCTATCAGTGGTGTCTTTTCTGTTCTGTTTTTACTGCTTTCTTAGTTTGCTGTTAGTTTCTTTTTGCTGTCTTGTGGGGCTATGCCCCATGTAGTTACCAAAAAAAAAAAAAAAGATTAATGCTCTTCTGGGTATTGGCCTTTGTACGAAAAGAAAGAAAAGTAAAACATGTAGCATAAATAAAAGAGTTTGATCAACATAAAAAATCAAAGAAATTCCCCACACCCTCAATTAAAAAAAAAATAAAAAATAAAAGAAATGGGTAAATATAAGCACACAATATTTTTTGTCATGAAATGATTTTTTTGACAACTAATTCATGAAAAATATTCGATTGGAATATTGTTAGATTCATATATACAAAAATTAATAATTTCTTATCACTTGAATCAATAGTTATTAATAATGTAAAATGAATTTTTAAGTTTATATACATGATATCATTACTCAATTCATTAATTTTTGGTTAACAATTACAATCAATAATCTTAAGATATCTCTCACAAATCCAAAATATCAACACACAAAATAGTTTTCACCAAAACAAAACATTCAATCATAAGAAAATCATGGCTCACGAATTTTGTCTACCCGTCATAACACCATAAATTGTGGCATACAATCTCTCATGAAAGCGACAAATCTATCATGCTCTTTTCTACTCAAGTTAGCGGCTATAAGGAAGAAGAGAAGTTGAGCCTTTTAAAACCTAATTTCATCACTAAAACATTCATGTGCCCAGCGTTCACTTACATTTGATTTTTTAGGGCATTTCAAGTGGGCTAAACCCAACAAAGTAATTCAAGACAAACATATTGAATCGAATTTGGTCAATTCCTAAGGATATGATATTCTATATATCTTTTATTCATACCTACTTTACTTACTTATTATGAATACTGTTAGATTAGAATATCAACTAATTTTCACTACTTTTCTTTCCTCTTGAGATTTTGATCAAATAGTATTGAAGATGAATAGATAGAATAGATATGAGAAAAATATAATATAATCATATAATATTTTATGCCCAATTCCTAATACCACTGAAACATTTACGCCGGTTGCTAAGATGGTTAGCGTACGTACTTTCTTGTCTGTAGCTATTGCAAAGGGTTGGGAGCTTCACCAACTTGATGTTCAAAATGCATTTCTTCATGGCGATTTGGCTGAAGAGGTATATATGCGATTTCCTCCTGGATTTTCTCATGGATCACCTGGCTATGCTTATAAGCTGCAGAAGTCGCTATATGGCTTAAAACAATCTCCCTGAAACTGGTTTGCTAAATTACGTTCTTTTCTTCTTTCTTTTGGTTTCCAACAATCAAAAGCTGACTATACTTTGTTCACATACTCTACTGCTGAATTTTTTGTTGTTGTTCTCATATATGTGGATGACATTATATTAGCTGGCAATAGTTCTTCTCTATGCGCTAAGGTAAAGAATCATCTTCACACATGGTTCAAGATCAAGGACTTTGGTAAACTCAAATATTTTCTTTGGCATTGAAATAGGTCGAAGCTCCTCTGGCCTGTTTCTTTGTCAACGCAAATTTGCACTTGATATTCTCAAAGAGTGCGGTCTTCTTGGCTGTAAGCCTGTGGAATTTCCAATGGAGCCAAATGTTCAATTAGCAAAAGCAGATGGACCTGAATATTCTGATCCTACACGCTATAGAAGGTTAGTAGGACGACTTATTTATCTTCCTATTACACGTCCGGAGCTCAGTTATGTTGTTCACTGTTTATCTCAATTCATGCAACATCCAAAACAGCTCCATTATGATGTTGTCATTCGTGTTATTCGCTATATCAAGGGTAATCCTGGTCAAGGACTTCTTCTAAATAGAAACTGTGATCTTCAGCTTCGTGCTCATTGTGACTCAGATTGGGCAACCTGTCCAATTACTAGGCGGTCTGTTACTGGTTACTTTGTCACTCTAGGTTCCTCTCCTATCTCTTGGAAGACAAAGAAACAACATACCGTGTCTCGTTCTTCCGCTGAAGCAGAATATAGATCTATGGCAAGTGCAACCGCATAACTGTTATGGCTCAAATCATTTTTACAATCCCTTGGTGTTCATCATCAGCGCCCCATGCAATTATTCTGTGATAGCCAATCTGCTCTTCATATTGCTTCGAATCCCGTTTTTCATGAACGGATAAAGCACATCGAGTTGGATTGTCATTTTATTAGGGAGCATATTATGTCCAAAAACATCTGCACAGCTCACATTCGAACTGATGTCCAGCCAGCAAATATTCTCACTAAGGCACTTGGGCGAAAACAGTTCCAATGTCTAAAGTCCAAGTTGGGCATTTCATCTCTCCATGCTCCAACTTGAGGGGGAGTATTAGGAAAGCTATAAAAGTTGTAACTGTAATTCAATTTAGTCTTTGTTAGTTTCTATTTATTTGTATTTTATTCTATATTATTTTGTATCCTTAGCATGTAGTTAGTTTGTTACGATTTCTAGGAGATTTTTGGATCAGCTTGTAGCTGCTGATTGTTTAGTTTGTTTTTGCTGTAATTTGTTATTTTGTTACGGTTTCAAAGTCTTTATTTAAAGACTTCAGTTTCATCAATGAATTCAAGCAATTCAATTATATCAGTTTCTAATATGGTATTAGAGTCTCGTGTCCCGGGTTCGATCCTCACCGTCATCCACTTTCTTTCAAGTGGAATTTCTTTGTACGCACAGGTAGGTGGGCCAGTACATTGTCCACCCTTCAAGCCCAGTGGGCTCTCGTGTGAAGGGGCGTGTTGAGATATATAAAACCATTAAAAAGCCCTCATCCAAAAACTTAAGATTTTGGGTTGAATTGGTTCTTTACATAGACCTAACACAAAGAAGAAAAAAACAAGCAAGCAGGGTCAATTATTTTGTAAATCAATTTTATTTTCTACTGTGACATTTAGTGGTTCATATGATAACTCACACGGCTGCACAAGTAAAATGTGCTTTACAATTGACTCTCCTCGCAAGCAATTTCAGTCACAGTCAAGATTGACCCACTCGGTAAAACAACTAAGCAAGTATATCATATCATTTTAGGAAGAGTAGTTAAGATATAGATATGGATCATTTTCTGTTATTGCATATCGTAAGAATGTTTATGAGAGTGATGAAGACACAAATAATTTTAAATAATTACACCATGTTCGATTAGATCATTTATATGTGGAGCTTATACTTTTAACTTTCTATATAATTTTATTCCTTGGCAGCCAAGTAAAGCAATTAAGTCCAGTGACATAATTTATTTTTAATTTATTAGGGTAGTTGGGTTCAACGTGGGATGAAGATATATTAGCAAGGGATTCGAATATTCGACTCTATGCAACAATGCTCTAGTTTATGAAATGCACACTAACTTCTACAAATTATAGGACAATAAATTAAATCTTTTTATTTTTTTAAATATTTAAATTATATAAATATCATTGTATTTTTTTCATATTTTTTCCAATTGTAATGATGTCATTTACATATCTCTTTTTTGGTAACTTATAGCCATAAATAGATGAGTTATTTAATGCTTACGAAAATAAATGTTTAAAGACAACAAAATTTGGTTCCAAGAGTTATTGGTATAATGATGTCTCAAAGATTTGACATGTCCAAAAAGTAAAAAGTAATGAATTCATTCCTGAAAATTACAATTCCTAAATTGGCAAAAATACTCGAACCTAAAATTGAATTAATTGAGTCCATTAGAATTTGAGACATAAGTCATAGTGATTATGAGTGTGTATGACAACCATTCTATTTCCGAGCACTGTTTCTAAATAGAAACAATTCTTTTTTATTTCTGTGCCTTAGAATAGTTTCTGAGAAAAAAAAATGTGTTTGATAACATGTTCCGTTTTTATTCCGAGAATGAGAATTGTGTTTGATAACACAACAAATAATATAATAAAAAATAATTCTTATTAAATATAAAAAAATTTCGGATCAACTCTTTCCTTTCCATATGGTGTGGTTGTGGTGGTGGTGGCGGCGGCGGTACGGTAGTGGTGGTAACAGTGACGTTGTGAAGATAGTGGTGGTGGTTGTGACGGCAGTGGCTGCGACGATGACGGTGATAATGGTGGCAACGGCGGTGGTAGTGGTGGGGATGGTGGTGGAGGAGGTGACAGCAGTGGCAGCGACAATGGTGGTGGGTATGGTGGTTGATGGCGACAACAATGGTAGCAGTGACATGGTGGTGGTGGTTGTGAAGGCATCATGGTGGTGGTGGTGGTGGCAGTGGCTGCGGCATTGGTGGTAGGTGACAGTGGTGGTGTTGGTGATGGTGGCGATGGCTTGGTGATGGTAGTGGTGGCATTGGTGTAACGGTGGCGATGATGGTGGTGATGCCGGTAATGGCTGTGACGATGGTGGTGGTGGTTGGTGGCGGCGGTGGCGACGATGGTGGTGGTGAAGACGGTAGTGGTTGCGGCAATGGTAGTGGTGGGTGGTGACAGTGGTGGTGATGGTAGTGGTGGCGTCGTGGTGATGGTAGTGATGGCGATGGGGGTGGTGGCACTCGCGTGTGATGGCGATGGTGGCGGTGACGACAATGGTTGCAATGATGGTGGTGATGGTTGATGGCGGTGATAGTGGTGGTTGCGGTGGCGGCGATGGTAGTTGTGGTGGTGGTGGCATGGTGGTAGTGATGGGTGGAGGTGGTGGTAATGGTGGCGGTGACATCGTGGTGGTGGCGCCTGCGCTAGTGGTACGATGGCGGCGGCGACGATGGTGGCAACAGTCGTGTCGGGATTATGGTGGTGGTGGTGATGATGGTAGAGGTGGAGAGTGATTGAGAGAGATAAGTGTTTCTCATTTTGAGCTCGGGAACAAAAAAACAAAAAAAAAAGTTGATTCTTCTTTCTGTTCCCCAGCACAATAATTAAACCGGTTCATCCCGGGAACAAAAAAATAAATTGATTTTACCAAACGAGTTTCCTATCCATTTCTGTTCCCGGGAACAGAAATTAAAAAAGAATTGATTCTGGGAAGGTTGTGATACGCACCCTATGTCATTTTCTAGAAACTGGCTGTGCTTTCAATTGTAGACACAGCAGATAGGTTTTCTTGAAATAGTGTTGATGATGATGAGTGATTATCTTAATCTCGAGTTAAGGTAAAGGCTCCATAGAATAGGCTTTTTGACCATTATAACCCATTATTAATAATTAATTATCAAATTGACTTTCATTATAAACTGTTTCAAAAATTTAACCTCCCAAAAAAACATAACACTAATTTGTCCCTGTTTGGCCATTGACCACCAAGCCTACCCGGGTAGGCCCCTTCCCTACCCGGGTATTTTTTGAAATTTTATGTCTACCCAGTTAGGGAGAGATGTACCCGAGTATATTTCTTGAGATCTGATAAATTGCTTGAATTATTTATCTGGATAAGAAGTGGTGTACTCGGATAAATCTCTGCCAGAACCCCAATATCAATGGGTTTCTGTTTTCGTTTTTTTGTTTTTTTTTTAAACATGGTTGTGAATGATTTGACAGAGAGATGCGGGATTGGGAATAAGGAGCAGAATGAGTGGTATTTCTTTAGCCACAAAGATAAGAAATATCCAAGAGGAACGAGAACCAATAGAGCCACCACCATGGCAGGGTTCTCGAAGGCAACAGGAAGAGACAAGTCAGTGTATGAACGAACAAAACTCATTGGCATGAGGAAGACCCTCGTTTTCTATGCAGGAAGAGCTCCTAATGGACGAAAAACTGATTGGATCATTCACGAGTATAGGCTAGAATCTGACGATAATGGAACTCCACAGGCAAGCATATACATGGCAGGGTTTTTATATATCATTGGTCGAGATTTATCCAGGTACATCTTTTCTTATCCGGATAAATAATTTAAGTAATTTTTCATATCGCAAGAAATATATCTGGATACACCCTCCCTACCCGGGTATGCATAAAATTTCAAAAAATACCCGAGTAGGGAGAGGTTTACCCGGATAGACTTGGTGGTTAACGGTCAAATAGAAACATATTGGTGTTATATTTTTTAGAGAGATTAAATTTTTGAAATAATTTATAATAAAAATTAATTTAATAATTAATTATTAATAAAAAATTATAAGAGTCAAAAAGCCCGATAGAATATCTTCCAAGGATTCGGCTTTTCACAAAAAGAGAATAAGTTTCGGATCACGGGACCCGTCGTCTCGTAGCATAGCCTACATTGCTATCATATCATATCATAAAAATGAATCATGGCACTGTTTGTAAAATATCTTGGTGGTTCTTCTTTTTCTGTGTGTGTGGTTCTTTTATTAAATAAAAATAATAATAATATATTTATCATTTCTTATTTTATCCATTTTTGTATGATTTATTACTTTTTAAATCCCACGATTTTCTACTTTTACTAAAAGGAGTAACTCATTTACAAAAAGAAAAAAGAAAAAAGGAGTAACTCAGAGTACATAGCACCAAATATATACTTCTCTTTTTGGATGTATTTTATTTTTTTATATAAACAAATTTATGCATTATATTTTTTAAAGTCAGAACTATTTTATTTTTTTATCAATATCTAAAAAAAAATTAATAAAAAAATAATATTATGACTTTTTTAGAAATTTATTTTTTTAAAAAATATTATTTTATTTTTTTCTGACTTTTAATTTTTTTTAAAAGTTGCATTCAAATATAAATGCAAAGTGAAAAAAAAGTTTATTTTGAAAAAGAATTCATCCAAACATGTCCTAAATCATACACTACATATTTTTAATTGAGATACGATATTATTTATATCTTTTTTTATGCCTACTCATCTCCAATACAATTGAATCAGAATATCAAGAGAAAAATTAGTTTAGATTCTAATCTAGGGATGACATAAGTAGCTAAGGTACGCATAGAAAAAGATAAATAAAATATCCTATCATTTTTAATTTTAATAGCAGAATATGTACCGGAAAATTTACTCCTTAACTTCTATATTATTACGTAAACATGTTATTCATATACAACGCTGCCATTATACTAGCAAATTGAAAAAAAAAGCTGTGCACCTGTGTAACAAAACAAGCCTTGGGAGTTATGAGGCTAAAAAGTGTGAAAATGACATTGTCTAAGTGATGCCTTACCGAAATTCCCATAATCCAACTAAATTATGCCATAGGTTAGTTTAGTAAGAGGATCAAAATTGAATAAAGAAGATTAAATTATTTTATGGATCCTTTTAACTTTATTAAGTTTTTAAATAAATCGTTATAATTTTGAAAGTTTTTAATAGAGCCATGACCCATTTAAAATTTTTAATCATTAAACAGGTTCTTAAAATTTAACAAAAACGTATGATATTGAATAGGGACTTATTTTAAAAATTGAAAAAATATTGGTTCTTCATTTATAATTTCTAAATTTTAGATAATTAAAAAAAAATTAATAAAGCTATAGAAATTTAAAAAGTATTTTATCAATAAATAAATTCATAAATCAGTTTTTAATGTAACAACTAGTACATTACACGATTTTTTTGAATTTAAATAAAATTTTAAAATCATAAATTACAGTGAAAAACATTAATAATTATAAAGAAAACATAGTTAATTGATTCGAATAAAATGTAAGAAAAATATATTAAAAGAGAAAAAAATAGATTTGAGCTTAAGAGCCATGAACCATTAACGAACCACGGATCATTAATCACATCGTTATGAGTTTATGGGTAATGTTCATATCATTTGGCTATGGAGTTTGATTTTAAAGCTTGCTATAAATCAATATTATTAATCTCAAGCCGATCAACTCAACCAAAGTACTAGATGAATAATTTAACCGGTGGATTACCATTCAATTGATTAAATTAAATTTATATAAATTATATAATACATAAAATAATAGAAGCATTTTAACATACATATATAGCTTGCGATAAATGCTGCATACGTTCATCATGGATTCGATCCCAGGAAATCAAATCTCAATGATTTAGACAACATTTGAAAAACCAACCAGAGTTTATAAGTGAATCACCGATTTGATATCACAAACGATCTAATGACTACACAGGACCGATAAGTGATCGGGTTCCGGTTTTTTTATGCCTAATTTAGAAAGAAAGAAAAAACGACACTGGAATGTTAAATACAAATAAACCCCTAATGCATGAAAAGGAACAAAACAAAATCTCTTACCAAAATTTCATTTTAAAAAACAAATGTACCTAAGAATTCTTGCCCAACGCATTTTATGTTATAAATTTAGTAATTATTTTGGGATGTATCTGTCAAAACAAAACATCTTTAAAAAAAAAACAAAATCGTGCTGTTATTTTTTTGAATAAACCATACAAGACAATCATGTTCGAGCCGAAAACATTCACATATGATAGTCTAGATGTCCCAAAGAATAATTTTTTTTTTACATTCGTAAGAAGTTGAACTCAAAGACGTTTGTTATTCACACCACATATTCTCTATAAAGTTGCCAAACTTCCCTCTTTTGGGCCTTGCACGTTCATGAACGCGAAGATCAAAGCACAGTATTAGAATTTTTTATGGCAAAGTCAAGGAACAAAAGTATAATTGACTTTAGTTTCCAAAAAACCCAAAAAACAAAAGTATAATTGACTTTACATTGACAGCCTTACCCTTTCATACCACAAGAAAAACTCCAATTCCCATCTTATTATACCAAATTACCAACTTACATTATAAACGATCTCAGGCACTATTATAGTACTAATAATAGAAGTTATAGATATAAACCATCAGATGTTATCGTACTTTTTCCCTCGTAGAAAACCTTGTAGAGTAGCTACCGCAGATTATTCTTGCTTCACGTCTGCACTTCCAGGTTTATCAGGTTCTGTTGGCGCTGGTTCAGCATGTGCCTCAGCCTGCTATAACATTGAGATTTGTACTTCAGTTTATATTTACAAAACACAAAATTGTTTATAAGCATGCACATACGTCAAAACAAAAGTATGATGCAAACGCCCATAACAGTATCCATCATCAAGTCATGTAGAGCAGCAATACTCAACCAGGACAACTGAAGGGTCACTAAATGGTTGTTTAAAGGATCACTCCTTTATACATAATCCATCTTTAACAAAGATAAAACAAAAGGACAACGAATAGATTTCTTCTCAATAGAGAGATGTATGTGATCATCGGTAACACAATCCCTTGTCAGCTAAACCAAATATCATGCTGGACAACAGACATTTGAACAACGCTCAAATTATTCCCGGGATGATAGTCTTTATAAAAAGACTGATAGACCCCTTTACCAAGGCATATGCAATAAGAAGAGGGATGAGAAGTAGAAGGATAAACACACAAGGCTGAGAAAGACAAAATAGAAAGAAAAAAAAAAAGGAAATATTTGACAGTTAAGTCTAGAGCATAACTGAATGCTAACCTAGCAAGGAATAGTGGGAGGTGGGATTCAGTTAGGGAAAAATGAGAATATAAGTGGAAACGATATGTAGTGCATGGTAGTCATAAATTAAGTAAAAAGAGGGTTAGGAAGGGTCTAGAGATAATGAGTTGACAGATCTCTCCAGTTTTCTTTGTTTTTCGGCAATTTTCTGTTTATGTCATACACCATTTTCTGTTTCTGAATCCCTATAAGGAGCTAGTCTCCATTACTTCTTAATAATATACATTTAGTTCCATCAACAACCAACAGCCAACGATCATGTATCAGGTAATATTGCATAAAAGGTAGCAGGATTCAGACCTCACTTCTAATTCAAAACTTTCCTCGTTAATATCACCAATTATACTTCATTATCCATCAAAATAAATTAAGTAGTATTAATTATAATAAAGTACAACAACTAAAAAGTTGAAAATAATACAACCAATTATTCTTTATTATTTATTAATTTTTCTTGCAATCAAACCCAAATAAAAATAAGTGCCCTGGCCACGGAATCCTACAGACACTCCAGGAATTACACATCAATCATTCTATCAATTTATTAGGATTAGGTTTTCCTCCTTTCCTAATTTTTAGACACAATGTTGAACTTCTTTGAATCTGAGACACCATTTACAGTTGGAAGTGGCACAGAATGGTAAAGGCACCAATGTTCAAATTTTACAGAATTGACAGCTTCCAGAACAAGTCACCAAGAATAGAAGAATTAAAAAAAAAAAAAAGAAGCCCAAGAAAAGAAAGGGTCACTTAAATGCTAATAGGATCATAAGATTTGGAACCAGATCTCAGTATCATCCTACAGAACAGTGGCAACATCAATTTCTATCATGTAAATTGGCACAAAATGGTCATATGGAAAACTAAAAAAGCTCAGAGTGATGAGATTGCTAGCAGAAGACGAAATATTATTTTTGTCAAATGCTGTTCCACGATATTATGCCTCCAATAAAGACTTCTACAAAAAGATATTTGAGAGGATTAATACTTGTGTTCCGTTCGATATAGTCTTACACTCATGAAAAACTGTCCATATTGCAACGTGCATCACGTCATATCCTACTTGGTTTAAATTTTTTTTATTGACAGAAAATCTCAACTGACTTAAGCACCTTGAGGTTCAACAAAATGCTTATTCATAATCATTTAGGAAGGCATTAGTTGATCTAATGGATTTGTAATGTGCTTTGAGTTATCTAAGAAAACCTCAAATCTCTGCAGTTTCTCATTGCTTCTCTAATAAGCTTAGCCGTGTTTTGACATCCATGATTAACCCACAATGTTCATCAAGATCCCCAAAAGCCACATAGTTGCCAGCTACTGCACAAAGCTGTGTTACAACCACATACTGTTAAATGTGGGATGGTTGATGCTCCTAAGAGATCCCAGAAGATGATACATTTTGATTTAGAGGAAAGCCCACTCCTAAAAGTAAGTTGTTAAGTGGGGAGATCCTCCACTTCAAAAGGGAGTTCGATGTCCCACACACAGCTACATGAGACTCACATTCACCAATTCCATCAGATAGGAAAGAGTTGTCTCACACACTGCCAATAAGGGATTCCCACCCCAGCATCATATTGGTTATTTCCTATAATCTAAAAGCAAATAATCTCTCTTATTGATCAGGATGAAATCATGGATTAATCCACAGTACAGTTGTTAGAATCTCACGATTCACTATCCGAATCTCGCAACTCGGCAAGCCAGCAATTCATATCATGTAATGAATTGGAGTTAGCTTAAAATCGTGTAATTCATGCATGAACCAGTGTGATTCCATATCACTGATACAAATTGCACGATTCAAATGATTCATTAATTAATTTTCTTTTTTTTGCTTCAATTCTCAAAAAAAGAAATTGAAAAAGTCAAATACGATTAAATTGTTAAATGAAAATGAACTAAAGGAGCGCAATTTGAATCGAGATTCAAAATCGGAGATTCACAATTTGAATTGCGATTTGATAACCTAGATCCACAATTAGAGGTCCTAGGTTCAAGAAAAACACTTCTTCAATGGTGCGTTTGGTTTGTTTATTGGTTTCACAATTTCCTTTGCAAATTATTAAAAAACAAGGAATCATTCTTGTAATTATTAATAATTAGTGAGAACAAATCATTAGAGAAGTTCAGAAATGGAGGAGAAAAGAATGAGCTTAAATAGAAGCTGGTTGTATGAATAAATATAGAACTAAGTCATTCACTTACTTTACTATCCCTGTTAGTTGGAGGCTTGTATGGACATGCTGGAGGAACCCTCTCCGGTTTCCTGTACTCCCAACCAAAAACCCGATACAATTTTCCCTTGAAAAACAGAAAACTTATTAACATTCAACAATGAACGAAAATAGATCAGATTTGTTCGAGTTTGCGTGGAAAATCAACCTTCAAAAACCAAAATAGAATGGACAATTTCGATTACCAGAAGAAAATCGAAGAGAAGAGGGAGGATGTTGACGATCGGCACCAGAAAGAGGGGCAGCAAACAAGCCAAACAAACCTAATTCACATTCAATTTTTTTTTTTTAAAATAAACAAGAAAATAAAAGATTGATCACAGGAATGGAATGAGAAAATCAAAGGCGATACCATGTTGAGATTGCGAGAACAGTTGATTCAGTTGGCTGTCACAGCAATTGACGAACCCAGGTGAGGTTAGGGAAAGCGAGATCGTGCGGTAATTTTCAAGCGAGGCCAATAGATATGACAATTTAAAAAAAAAAAAAAAAAAATTAAAAAGAAAAGGAAAAAAAAGTCCGACCTGCCGGATTCGAACCAGCGACCTAAGGATTATCTGTTGGATTACCCACTACAGTCCTCCGCTCTACCAACTGAGCTAAGGTCGGCTTGTGCAATCGATCTCGTATAAGATATATAGTTTATTATGTTATAGTAAATACATGGCACTTATTATTCCCCTAAGCCAAATGAGAGCATAGAATTAGATGAGATGTCATCCTCTGACAAACTGATCGAGTTAATTAAGATTGTTGTATTCACTAAACGATTGAGTTGAATCTCCAACTAAAGCTGAAGCAATTCAATTTAGATTGATGTATTTTTATTTTTACTTAACAAGCTGTTGTTATTTAAAATACAAATATTTTTCATCTGATGTGTGTGTAGATGTAATTTCTGTAAAAAAAAACCAAGATTTATAACTTTGAAAAAAAAATTACTTAAAGTATATTAATCAAAAAGCAAAACAACTTTAATTTTAAAATTAATTCAAAAAAATAATGCATAAATATTTTTTTTAATTCAGCCAAACGGTCCATATTTAGTTTTGAAGAAAAATAATTTCTTATACGTTTCTTTTCACAGATATTTTTTCGGTAACTTATAGTATAACCTCCCTCTTGAATTAATAATCAACAAAAATACATCTGTCCACTTTGAGTTATTAAAACGGAAGAAAATTATTTAATTTACTTTTGGAAATGTGAAATAAACTTGCTTATAACAAAATCAGTAATTTGATAGTTAAAAAATAAACAAAAAAAGAGAGTAGATGTTTCCAAGAAACCTTTCACAATTACATTATTCCTTAAATGACGAATTACAAAACTTTGCTTATCTAAATGCATTCTGATGCGTTCAAGTTGTGTATCCGTCTGAGCCGACATCATTTTTGTAACCACTCAAACTCAAATGACAGAACATCTCACATCAATCATCAAACCCTTAAAAAATTGACAAATTCAGAGATGAAAGGAGAAAGAGAAGGGGATTAATGATTATCATCAATATTGCTTAATCATATCTGCTTGTTTGGGAAACAATTCAATCTTTTTCACTCTATGAATGGTTCGAAAGCTAGATGAGAAATTTGTCCGAATTTTCGAAATTAAAAAGTTGTGCAATAAGCACGAATAATAAAGAACAAAAAAGTAATTCACTATACATTTATTGTAGCGGACTTTATTATCCTTGATCATTAAAGAAAATCTGCTGAAACGCTATAGAAGATTCCTTGCAATAAATTAATAGAACCAATTAAATTTTCAGAATTACTGACACTATTAATTTCTTTGACTAAAAGACATTGCATAAACTAAAAGTGGTCATAAGATCCATCCACTTGTACATTGTTCCACCACGAACAATTATACACCGATAACGAACTAGTGTCATCGCATGAATCAAGGACAAGAACGTGTACTTTAACACAAAAAAGAAATTCTCATTTTCATCATTAAAATGACAATAACAATACAAAATGAAGAATGTGCTTATAATATTGGCACTATGTTTTCATCATTGTTATTTATCTTCTCTAAGCATCCCCATTTCTTCACTTTTAAGTTTTAACCCCAACACTCAGGTGTTAGTCTATGGTCTCTTTTGGGGTCTCGGCAATAGTTATAAACCATGTGGTATCTTTGCACCCATCTCATGGCCCTGTGTTGTTGTCTAGTCAACCCACCAGACCCATATGGTGAGGCTGAGACTGGATGGCACCAACTAGGGGCATAGGCTGAACAACCACTAGCCTTGAAGTTTGTGTACCTTGCAACAAAAGGTTGGTATCTGTAATCAGCTTTGTACTTTCCATCTTCAGTTGCCCATGATGAAGCATCCCATATTGAACCATAAAGCCACATTGGCCTCAGTGGAAATGTTGCAGCACTCTTCCTTGGGTACCTCCTTATGGGCACATCATCCACAAGGAATCTGAGACATTGTTTAATTGTGTCAATAAAAGCAAATATATAAAACCAGTTAATAAAAATCACTTTTAATATGGCTGCGATTGTATAAAGTTATAATGGGACCAATTCTATAAAAAACACAAGTAGATCACTAAATTAATGTTACCTCTTTTTGCTTGAGTCATCAGATTATATTCTGCACTATACTAAAAAATCTATGCATTTCAAACAGAAAAATACACATATATTGTGAAAATGTATAGTGACTTACATTAATTCCTTAGGACTCCACATAATAGCATAGTGATGAAAATCTTTGGTAGGATCAAACCAGAGATGGAACTTCATCTCTCTGCCTATAATTTTCCCATCCCCACTTCCTCTTATATAAACATTGGTTTGTAAAGTATAAGGCTTTCCAAATGTTGTCCCAAGAAACTCAATGTCCACTTCATCATGGAAGCCAGGATGTGCTTCATTGTTAGAAAGCTGCCATTAATCAAATCATTAGTAATTCATTAGGGACACCAAACATAAATGTGTAAGCTTCCATCAATTAACATATTCTTTTGTCAAATCATTTGAACATATCTTACATAGAAAGCTGTTATAACTCCTGCGGTATAACCAGGATGGAGCTTAATGGAAGCACCAAAGTACCCGGATCGAAATGGACTAATTGACTTGAAGCCACTTCCTGTTAACCAGAAACAAAAAATGTGTTTCATTTCAATCATATATAGTAGATAAAACGTGTAATGTGAATTGAAACTAATCAGACTCAGACCTGAGGTTCTATCAAGCCAAATTGTTAATGCATTTTGGTCTAAGCTTTGGTGCTGAGGGCCCCAAAGATTTCTAAACCCTTTGTAAAAGCTCATAGACCTGAATTTGGAACTTGGCCAGTAGCCAGGTGAAGGTGGCCAGTAGGCATTGCTTGAAGGGGCCATAAAGAACAAAATAGCAAAGAGAAATATCAGAGCCATGAAGAAAAGTGAGTAAGCTAAAGTGTTAGCAGAAAGTAGAATGGTGCTGCTGTGTAAAAATGCAGGGTGTGAGAGTGAAAGAGAGAGAGGGACTACTCAAAGAAAAGTGCATATATGGAAAGAAGAGTATGGCAGTACAGTTTGATATAAATTAAAAAAAATTAGTGGGTCCCCTGCACAAAGAATTAATGGTGAAACTGAGGAGAATCGAAGAGGGATTAGAAGATTAAGTATTCCAATAATTAATTATAGATCATTACAGACAAAAGATAAGGTCTTTTAATTGTTGGATTAAATTCAATTACACTTTGCAGGGTCACTGAAATTATGTCATTTTCTTTTTCCCAATGCAACTACTTTCTTTCTTACTATTAATGTCAGAAAACCTTTTAGCTTCGTTGGAAGGCTTAGAAAAGATGATGGCATGCACAAGAGGGTAGGTGGGGTGTCTTAAATGTGGCTATGTGAAATTGTGCAATGTTGCATGGCTCTCTAATACAATAATGTTATTTGCTCAATAATAAAGTAAAATAACACAATTTAATACATTGTCTCTATATGTATATCAGATAAATATAATATAAAATTAATTCTTTACATGAATTAGAGAACTCGTGACCTGAGTTTGATCCTTAATGTCCATTCTACTAATACAAACATAAATATTATGTAAATTTTTAGCATAAATAGGTGAAATTTGTACATTGTTCATCCTTTGTGCCCTAATATCTTAGTGTATGTGTCTCTTTGTTTTTTGAAAGACAAAAAGTGTTAAAAAGGAGTATGAAATTTGGCGTGCAAATAACAAAAACCTTTATAATATGTGTGTCGGAGTTCTGAAAGCTGTTGCTGGATTAACCCAATTTTTTGTGCTTTTCACCATACCATGTCCCTCTTCATTGTGTCTGTTACTATTCAATGAAGCATAATTGTACGTGGAGGCCAAAATAGACAACGTAATAAATAATTAAACAAATGAAAAGTTAAATAGGAAAGAAGTGTGGACCAGATTGTGATATAGTCAATTCTCGTGCATGAATCTTAAGTGAGTGTTGGTGTATTTGAACCTGCGAAAACTTCATGAATGGAGTGGGTCAGGAACTATTCATTAATGGTCCCCAAAGCTTGATGTGAGGGGGCACACACGCATGGCTGATTGACTCGTAGAATAACCCTTGTATTTATGATTCATAATCTTACGATAATTAAAAAGAGTCCTTATAGATTGCAGTCAACCACATTAGCTATATGCACAACATACCATAGACACATTCCAGAGAATAAAATGTTTCATGTAATTCAACGTTTAGGGTGCTATGGGATTTAGGGAGACAAATGACAATTAACGTTAAGTGGTCTCAATTTTTCTCTTATTTGGCGAGAGAAATGCATTTGTGCTTACCATATTTGGCTACAACTGGTTTAAACAACTTTTCAAAGCAAAATGGTAGAACCCCCAAAATAAGCGGTCAACTAGATTTTGTGAAATATTACGTTAAAGAATCACTTCAACCCAAAACCTTAAGGTGTTGGGTGAAGGTCTTTTTAATAATTTATATTATATTCTCTAACACACTCCCTCACGCAAGAGCCTTTAGGCTTGAAGCTTCTCTAACACACCTCATCACTCAAGAGCCCTTTAGGCTTGAAACGTGGATATGACACAAGCCTATTATTGGTTTGTCTTGTGTCTTATGCTGCACAAGCCCATTTTTTGGTCTGCCTTGTGCTTTTCTTAATTCCACCTGAAAGTGGAGGGCGATGAGGATCGAACTCGTGATCTCATGGTCATTGAAGCTCTGATACCATGCTAAAGAACCACTTCAACCAAAACCAAAATCTTAAGGCTTGGGTGAAGGCCTTTTTAATGATTTATATTATATTCTCTAATATATTATGAGCCATTTTTGAAAATTAAAATACAAAAACAGGTAAGTTAGCACCTCTTTCAAACATTTGACATTGTAGAGAACCGAACACTGTCCCACGAATCAAACACAATATTTAAGTCTTAGATGCCAAAAGTACAAGAACTTAAGGCATGGTTTCCCAAGATGCAAACAACAAAATCGTAAGATACAGATCTAGAGGGCATTAGTGAGCGCTCTAGCTACAACCACCGTTACGCAATTTTAAAAACAATAACCCCAAATATAGAATCGAAAACAATACAAATACAACCTATAATTATGCAAATAATAGATGTGACGAGAAAAATGCTTATAGAGACTTGTGTGCCCTGGATTTTCAATTACAACTTGCAAGAGCTTCTTTTCTTGACCTATATATGTAGACAAATACACACGATTTGAAACATCACTGTTTTGTCGGTCACACACAGAGGAAGAGAGATAAACGAGTGTGGAGGGCGTGATGGGGATGGCAGTAGGGAGTAGGGACACCTTTCCTTAGCCGACAAATTACGAAGCTCATAAGAGACCTGAATTGGTTCATCTGCTCTGTGGAGTGCTGATCCATAGGATCACTCAAAAAGTTGAAGTTACTCATATGATCCTGAATTAGACCATTATATACTGGCTAGAGCTCGGAATTATGGGGTACTCCATCATAAAACAACAATTAATGCTTTTGAGTTTAAATTTTTAATAGTGCAATTATTCTATGACAATAATAATAATTGTTGTAAATAGTAATATAGAACTCCCACATCATCTATATATCTTTGTATTTTCTTTCTTTTCAGTTATATAATAGAGTTTCCGTTGTGTAGTTGAAACACATGGATTCCATTATATATCTCTTGTCTTATTCTCATTTGACATGGTATCTAGAGCTTAACAAGAGAAATCTTGATCTGCATCTTTTCAGTCGACCCACTGTCCACCGAGTAAAAATTTTCCCAGAAACTGTAACCGTTGTCAGTTTCTGGCCACACGTCAACGGAATCAGAAGGAGCTAATCTACCTAACATCGGAGGACCTACCGTCATCGGAGTCTCCACGCACTGTCTCCCAGACAAAGTTGCCCTACTGTCCTCTATCCATATTTGCCTTCACCTTGTTCGACAGAAATCGTTTGAGTCGCAGGTGTGTAATCTCCACGGACATCATTGTCCCTGTTCACATGGTTACTGCTCGCGAGTTTGTTCTGCACCTGCATCACCGAACCAATCTGTCCCTATTCGCGTGGATCTGCATCAGTCGTTACTTAGTTGCTGGAGTTCCTATTTGTCTGTGATTGTCCCTGTTCCGGTATCAACCTTTGCATGGTTTGCGCCCTTATTGGTGTTTGTTGCTACTGCAGTTCCTTTGCCACGATCTGACGCCTCTTATTCTTAAATTCAAGTTTTTCATAGTGGTTTAGGGTTCAAAGACCTCCATAGTAATTATCTACAACTCCAACATTTTTTTCGGCAAATTTTCTGGCAGAACTAACACTGCTCATGTAACACCCTGTTTTCACAACACAAAGTGTTACACACTTACAGTACAGATGTGCACTTAATTTGTTAAATAGCAGAAGAATTCCTATAAAGTATCATAATAGTTCTGATAAGTCTCCAATTCATTATGTATTAAGGGTTAATATGAGCATGAAATTGATTTAAAAGTAATTAAAAGTTATGAGAATTATAATTAAAGTTTTATTTTATTCTCAGTAATATTCTCATAAAAATTATTATATCTTGCAGTAATTTTCAGCTTAATAAAAAGATAAATTGGAGAGCTCAAGTGGATTTGTTTTGAATTTTTGAATTATATAATTGATTGAAGATCTTATTGAAGATTCTCTTGAATACTTTTAAGGAAATTGTTTCCTTTAAATATAAAAGAGAAGATTTTAATGATTTGATTAAAAATATGATTGGAAATTATAGTAAAGATTCCATTGAAGATATTATGAAAAATTAAAAGATATGGTTTCATCACTATAAAAAGGTGGCACATTCAGAAAGAAGGGAGCTTCTGAACAATTGAGAAGAGCAAATCCTATTTGGAGAGAGAAACACGTATTTCATGCTTTGAAGCATCGGGAGCGGTTTGAATTCACCAATGATCATATTTTCATTTAAACATAACATCAAACACGTGGAACACTTATTTATCAAGTGTTGGCTGAAACCCTAGCGTGATTTTTAGCCATCCATCTTGCATTTTTATTAGTCTTTGGAGCTTAGTTTCACTTTAAACCAACCAACAACCAATCTTAGTGTTATGGATATGAATATCATATCCCAACTACCTATCAGAATATTTTGTGAGATACAGAGCCATCAACATCTCAACAACTCCAAACAGCTAAAGAGCACCAGATAAGGATCACATCCCAACAGAAGAGGAGTTGAATCCTACTACAATTGGGGAATCTCAAAAGGCCCAAGCCTAAGAAGGTAATCCTATAAATAAGAGCCTAAGGACCCCAGGTAAACACTCATAATTCATTTACTACTTCTGCCCACGTTGTGCACACACCCACCTCTTGGCTATAAGCCTATTGCTTGTGCGCAGTGATTGGGACCTCGGCTATAAGCCTAGTATACAGTTGATATACACTATCTCTGAGCGCATACCCTACGGTATAGCAATACGGTCTATCCAGGACCTAACATTGGCGCCGTCTGTGGGAGTCGATAAATTTCGACTCCCATTCCACGATGACGAACACTCATTCGACATCTAGCACTTCCCAAATGTCGCCGCATCAATCTCAGCCTCAGCCTTATGGCATGCCTCAACACCAATCTGCCCCAGAATAGCTCCAACCGGAAGCAAACCCGGTGCTGGTAGAGGTACAGGTCAGCGAGGTCGGCACACAAGGACCGACTCCCAGACCCCAGCCGAATGCAGCGATGGCTGCAGTTCGTCCACCTCCACACAATGAGCCACCAGACGTGACAAACATGGCTATGGGCGCAATCCTTCAAAGGTTGCAAGAAATGGAAAACAGATTCCTGACCCAGCAGCGTATGGATGCCCAAAAGATGGCGACATTGGAGGCCGAGCTGAGGACCTTGAACGCGGAAGGCCAGCCTAGGGGAGCCGAGCATGTCGTAAATGGCCGACCTCAGCAGCAACATGCCGAAGGAGTACAACATCAGAACGCCGAAGGCGTAACTCATCAGAACGCTGAAGGCGTCCAACATTAGAATGCTGAAGACCTCCAGCATCAAAACGTTGAAGATCGACCTAGAAGGCGCGGCTATGCTGGTGATGGAGGTCCGCGGCAGCAGAACGCGGCTACAGTCGAAGGAAACGCGCAGAATGTGAAGAACCTTAATCTCGGCAACAACCGGAATGGTGGAGGTCCGAACGACAACCAGGACGAAAATTATCTGGAGGATGAAGAGGCTAATGATAGCCCATTCACTGGGAGGCTCATGAACTTGGCCATACCGCCGAGATTCAAGAGCACCAGGATACCTCCATACGACGGAAGTTAGGACCCAGAAGCCCATTTAGAGGATTTCAAAACCGAGATGTTATTCAACGGGATCACTGGACCTATTAAGGCCAGGATCTTTGCGACGACATTGACTGGTCAAGCAATGACCTGGATAACCAGGCTCCCTAGGAACTCAATTGACTCATTTGAGGACCTAGCTCAGACTTTCCGACTTAACTTTGCAACAAGCAAGGTGCATCTGATGTCAACCTATGCTTTGGGAAGAATCAGGCAGAAGGAGAACGAATCGCTGAGGAAGTACCTCGATCGATTCAAGGATGCCGCCCTCAAGGTACGAGGGTTAACTGAAGCAGTGCACCTCCACTTAATCATTTCGGGATTGGATGGCGACTCCCCATTGGCGAGGTCTATCAATAAGAACCCGGTGAACAATCTGGAGGAGTTCAGGAGAAGGTCGGACAAATACATTGACATGGAGGACATGCAAAAGATCTACGTCGAATCACGAGGACGAAGCCCTACACGTCGGAGCCCGAGTAAGAAAAACAACAAAGACCGGGACCATAAAGAATCCAAAAAAGCAAAGGACACTCGTGATAAGAGGTCGAAAAACCGATCACCAAGGAGGAAGTATGACGATTATACACCTTTGAACGTGTCCAGATCCAAGATATGGAAAGAGGTAGCTCAGACCGAGATGCGCCATGTCGAGAGACCTCGACCCCTCAAAGCCAAGTTCGGATTAGATAGAAACAAATATTGCGCCTTCCACGACCAAAACGGTCACTTTACGGATGATTGCTGGACCTCCGAGATGCAATTGAAAAGCACGTCAGAGAGGGAAAATTGAAGCAATATATCATCCGAACACAGGGCAAGAAAAATAATAAGCGAAAGCAAAGAAGCCGAAGTCGAAGCCCAAAGAGAGAGGATCGAAAGGATCAAAGACAAGACCGACCTGCCAAAGGCAAAAAGGTCGACGAAAAGGACGAAGCTCTTCCTGAATCCGAATTCGAATGCAACGTGATAAGTGGAGCTCTAGGTGGGGGAGGAGACTCCGCAAATGCCAGAAGAAAGTACCTAAAAGAGGTCATATCTGTAAGAGACGTGCCGACATTCAAAGGGAAAGACAACAAACCTGCTCCCCTGATACTGTTCTTCACTCAGGAGGAACTAGCAATGGTCGTACCTGGACACACTGACGGATTGGTGATCACCGGAGTGCTAGTCAATTGCCGAGTGAAGAGAATCTTTATTGACCACGGAAGCTCAGCTGACATAATTCTATGGGATGCTTTCCAGAGGATGAACCTGGATGAGAAGGACTTGAAACCATGCGTCACCGAGCTGGTCGGGTTCAACGGAGCGGCGTCCCCTTCAAAAGGCTACATCGACCTAAATTTGACCTTGGGCACGAAGGACTCGTTCTGAGCTGGAAGGGTTTGTTTCGTCGTGGTGGACACCTCGTCTTCCTTCAACGTGATCATTGGTCGGCCTGCAATCCATGAATGGGACATGCTGATCTCCACAAAACATCAAGCATTGAAAATGTCTGGGATGAACAACGAGATCGTCACCATAAGAGGTGATCAAGAAGAATCAAGAAAGTGCTACTATGAGACTTTACGAGTCCATCATGGAGGTCCATAATCTCCACCTCGGCTTAAAGAGGGAGGAGTTAAGGACCAATCACTGAAGGCATGTGGAAGAGAGGTCAACTTGGTAGAACTCGACGTGAGAGAGAAGCTCCTAGCACCTTGTCCAGAACCCCAAGGGGAGCTGGAGGATGTTGATATTGCGGAGAATGGCAAAGGGCACACTAAGCTGGGGAAAGGCCTAGATGTTGACTTCAAAGAGGAACTGGTTTCCTTCCTAAAGGAAAACCGCGACGTATTTGCATGGAAAGCCTCGGAGATCCCAGGAATAGACCCAACTTTCTGCTGCCACAAACTCTCCATGTACCCCGGATCACAGCCAGTGTCCCAAAAGAATAGGAAGATAGGATCCGACCGACGTCAAGCCTTGAATGAGCACGTCGATGAGCTGCTAGAAGCCAGATTCATCAGGGAAATACAGTATACCACTTGGCTGTCTAACGTGGTGATGGTAAATAAACCAAGTGGGAGATGGAGGATATGCGTGGATTACACCGACCTCAATAAGGTCTGCCCAAAGGACTCATACCCCATGCCGAGCATCGACCAGCTAGTTGACAATTCGTCAGGATTTCAGCTGTCATTTATGGACACGTACTCTGGGTACAACCAAATCCCACTACACCCTGACAACCACGAAAAAACTGCCTTCATCTATGAAAAGGGAAATTTTTGCTACAACGTCATGTCTTTCGGTCTCAAAAATGCAGGGGCGACATATCAGCGGATGATGAACCGCGTTTTTCAATGGCAAATTACGAGAAACCTAGAGGTATACATCGACGACATGATTGTCAAGTCGGTGCACATATTTGCACACATAACCGACCTCAGGGAAACTTTTGAGCGACTGAGAGCTCGCAGGATCAGGCTGAACTCGGCGAAATGCGCTTTTGGGGTACCAGCTAGAAAATTCCTGGGCTTCATGCTTACCAATCGAGGAATAAGAGTAGACCCCGACAAATGCAAGGCCGTCCTCGAAATGAAGCAGCCTGAAAGTAAGAAAGAAATCCAACAGCTCACAGGACGTCATGCGGCCCTGACCAGATTTTTGCCTAAATCGGCAGAGAAGGCTTTGCCTTTCTTCAAGCTCCTCAAAAAGGAAGCCGAGTTCGGATGGGAGGAAGAATGGAAAAACGCATTCGACAATATTAAGAGTTGCCTGGCCACCCCTCCTGTACTGTTAAAACCAGAGCCCGGAGAAACGCTGATCTTGTACTTATCAGTGGGGGAAGAGGCCATCAGTGCCGCCTTGGTACGGGAGACAGACAAATCACAACAGCCGATCTACTTTGTAGGTCGAACCTTGCAAGGACCTGAGCTTCGTTTCCAGAAGCTCGAAAAAGTCGCATTCGCCCTACTTACCACAGCAAGGAGGCTCCGACCTTACTTCCAGAGTCACCGAGTCATTGTGCGAACAAATCAGCCTATCAGGCAAGTACTTCACAAGCTGGACCTAGCGGGAAGAACGATCAACTGGGCCGTCGAGCTCTCTGAGTTCGACATATCATATGAGCCTCGGCAGGCGATTAAGTTCCAAGCACTGGCCGACTTCATCTTGGAGCTAACCTCGTCCAATGAAAAGGGAAAAGGGAATGAAGATCTCTGGACAATACATGTTGATGGATCCTCGAACTCTAAGGGGAGCAGAGCAGGAGTGATCATCGAGACCCCGGAAGGAGTGTCCATTGAGCATTCACTTCACCTGGCATTTCCGACCTCCAACAACCAAGCTTAGTACGAGGCGTTCATTGTCGGGATCGTACAAGCGAAAGAACACGAGGCTAGAAAAATAAAAAACATGAGTGATTCGCAGCTGGTTACCTCACAAGTTGAGGGAAAATATCAAGCCAAGGGTCCCCTTATGATGAAGTACCTCCAACAAGTGAAGGAGCTGCTAGCCGAGTTTGACGAGGTAATAATCCAATATATACCTCAGAACGAAAATAATAAGGCCGACATCTTATCCAAACTTGCCAGCTCAAAGGGCTCAGGAAGTCATCGCATTGTGATACAACAAAACATCCTGGAGCCGACGTGCGTCATGGTGATAACCGAGACTGAGGATTGGAAAAGGCCAATAGTGGCCTATCTGGAAAAAGGGATCCTGCCAGACGAAACACAAGAGGCCAGAAAACTCGTGAGGAGCTCGGCCTGTTTCACCATTGTAGAAGGGCAACTCTACAAGAAAGGTTTCTACACACCCATACTGAAGTGCCTAGGCAAGAACGAGGTCGAGTACGTGCTGGCCGAGATTCATGAGGGCATAAATGGGCATCACAGGGGAGGAAAAGCCTTGGCCAGAAAGGCACTAAGAGCAGGATACTACTGGCCAACTATGGAGGCGGATGCGAAGGAGCATGTCAAAAGATGCGAACAATGTCAGAAGCATGCGCTGATCCTTCGCGCACCCCCAGAAGAGCTGCAAACTATCTCGGCACCATGGCCGTTCTTCAAATGGGGAATGGACCTACTAGGACCTCTTACTGCGGCTGAAGGACAACTCAAGTGGTTGATAGTGACTGTCGACTACTTCACCAAGTGGATCGAGGTTGAACCCCTCACCACCATTACCTCGGCAAGAATACGAAGATTCTTTGAAAGAAACCTCATCAGCCGATTTGGGCTTCGTGCTGAGATCATCACAGATAACGGAACACAGTTCTCTGACAAAAAGTTCCAAGAGTTGATGACCGACCTCAAAATCACACATTGGTTTGCATCAGTTGAACACCCTCAGACTAACGGACAAGCCGAGTCTACCAACAAGGTGATCATCAACGGGCTAAAGCAAAAGGCTCTGTGAAGCCAAAGGCAATTGGGTCCAGCAACTACACCTCGTCCTATGGGGTTACAGGACTAGTGCCCAATCTGCCACGGAAGAAACCCCCTTCAAGCTGACAAACGGATGCGAGGCCATGATTCCAGTGGAAATCGGCGAGCCGTCTTGGAGGAGGGTGCAGAGGTTGCAAGGAACCGAAGGCCAAAACAAGGAAGCACTCCTTGTGGAACTCGACCTAGTTGATGAATGCAGGGAAAATGCCAGATATAGAAACATGATGGCAAAGCGCTTGGTAACTGCTAGATTCAATAAGAAGGTCAGACCTCGGTCATTTCAGAGCGGCGACTTAGTCTTGAGGAGAGCAGATATCGGCAACAAGAATGCCAAAGATGGGAAGCTCACTGCAAACTGGGAAGGCCCCTACAAGATCAAGGATAATCTGGGAAATGGAGCCTACACCTTGGAAACTATCTCCAAGAAACCAGTAAAGAGGACTTGGAACGCGGACAAGTTAAAAGTCTACTACTATTAGGCTCAAATCCGACGTTCGAGGCGATAAGACGAGCAATTAAGCTCGGCCAATAGTTAGATTTACTTCTACGCAAATAAGATGAGCTATCAAGCCCAGTCAGTAGGTAGATTTATTTTTAAGAAAATAAAAACGAGCTTCTAAACTCGACCTTGTAAAGATATTTCGTTTGAAATGCAAATAAAATGATCAGTCATTTAATTCCTGTCATCCATGCATACCGATTTCCATTCAAGTAATTGAAGCCCAAAGAGCTTCACGATCAATTAAAGGAATAAAATTTTTTGTTGACGAACAAAAGATAATCCTAGATCGGCAAACAAAAACCTCGGCGAATCACAAGTCGAGTAAAATGAGATCGAAAGCGAACCTCGAACAAAAAAATAATGCGAGAAAGTAAAGCAACGATCTCAAGTAAATGAAAGCATTAAAATCATAAGTTGTAAAGCCAAGCCAAAGCGGCAATTATGTTCAAATAAAATAAAAAAGCGGCTCAAAGGCCCCAAAAGCTGATTACAAAATAAAGGACGGCATTCCGACCCTTTCATTCAGCAGCACGAGGTGAAACGGCTTGCATCTCGGCTCCAATCTCTCCCTCATCAGTAGACCCGGAGTCAGGAGTACCAGGAACAATGGTGTCATCTTTAACCTCGTACGCCACATCCATGCCATCAACAACCATGTCAGGGTTCAAAACTTGGGCCTGAGCAATAGCATTGTCAAAGGCTTGGATAACGGCTCTCGCGACCACGGCTTTCGCCTCTTTAAAGTCGATCTGTAGTTGGTCAAGTTGGGCATCCTTGTCAGCCATGCATTTCGAGAAGGACTCCTACTCAGCAATCAAACCATCCGCTTTAACGGAAGCCAACTCCAAGTCCCCCTTGGTTTTCTCCAGGTCGGAAGACAGCTCCTGAACTTTGATCTCCAGATCGGATCTAGACTTGCTGAGCTCCTCCACCTTAATGGTGAGTGAAGTATTGGAAGCAGCAGACAAATCGAGCATTTGAGTGAGGTCTTGGAAAGTTTGAAGCAATGAGGTCGCCTTCAAAGTATCCTCTTCCAACCGCGCCACCAAAGACCTCGCAGTTGCATTCAAACCCGAGCCTCTAATAAGCTCAGGGGGAGGTTTAAGGGCGGCCCGAAGACGATCTGAGACCCCCGACCTCCACAACTCCCCAAGCTCGAGGCTAATTAAATTCCCTTGAGAGGCAGTGAGGGGAGCTGGAAGCGGAGAAGAGGGTGGAGTTTGAGCATCAATCATAACCACCTCAGCGTTGGCTGAGCTTCCGTCGAGTATGGTGCCAATCCGCCTTCTTTTAGGAGCATCAGACTCATGAGGGGCACCCTCCTTCGATTTCCCTCTACCAGTCTTCTTAGGAAGAAATTTCTTGTATTCAGCAGAGGTCATGCTGACTGCAAAAAGAGATACGGAAATCAGAATACAGTTTATAATCTACGAGAAAGA